AACGTGCAATGACATGAAGAGCTGAAAGCAGAAGACAGTTACAGTAGGAGATGTAGAGCTAGGAAAGGCCAAAAGTATGAAGTGGAGAACAACAAAAGGGATCAATATCAAGGCAGCAACAGTAAGAAGCAGAAGAAATATGAACGATATTTTTTCCCCTTTCTGCTATAAAAATGAAGAAAAACAGGGGGAAAAAACCACAAAGAAATCCACAAAGAAATAAAACATCACAGATGCAGGACAGTGAGTGACAGAACAGCGATGCAAGTTCAATCTTATTTTTAATAAACACTTAGGCAACGTGGAACTACTTTGACAGGTAACACTTAAAAGCACTGATTTCATAGTAAGGCTAGAAACATTGCCTTACTGCTTTGTGAGCCAGGACATTTGGTCTCAAGCTCCTACCTCACATGAGAAGGGGATTTGAAATGCAATCTGTACTTCCAGAGTTTTGTACTGTGGGCTGCTATTGAAATCAGATAAATAGAACTCCTATCTCACTGCTGTCTGCTACGCATTTTCACGCGCATGTACCATTTCATGATGGAGGGGTGGGGCAGCTGCATGTGCTGCAAAGCTGCATGTATGAGTATACCCAGGAGACTGGCAAATGTCAAGCTCTACAGAATTCACATGCCTGTTGGGACTGGCTGCACTGCTAAGCACCATTTAATTGCATAGAAGCTTTAGGTAGCTCCATAGTGGTAGAAAGCCTGAGCAAGGTTTGGGCAGGGTGAGGGTAAGCAGCTCAGGTCCGCATCCTAAAGGAAATGCTAAGATCTCTGCCTAGTTCAAGATTTTATCAATATTTGAAAATGTTACACAATTGCTTCTACTGCTCTAACTTTTCTTGGTGCTACTAGGCTCTGTGTTTGTTCATTTGTTTCTAGTAAGTTGGAAATATTGAGGAGGGAGCTGTTTTAATAGGCATGGTGGAGCGCATCAACAGATGGAGCTAAGGGAGATCTGTGTGTTTGTATGTCTTATAGAACAAAGCACAACCAAGTACAGGTCAGTGACACTGTTGTGTGATTTATTACTCAGGGTTTTGTCCATAACAGGAATGTAACTATGTTGTAACTTAGAGGAAAAAAAACACCAAACTCTTTTTATTTAAAAGTTTCCCACTTTTCCTAGTTATTTTAAAATTGTTCAGCTGTGATGAGCAAAGGAAGGACCTAGTTTCCATTTGTCTGTTACATAAATCTAAAATATGTCAAATACATATGCTAAACATTTTTCTCTTCAAACTGGCCTCCTACAGAAGCACTGCAGCTGGGCAGAGCACTCCCAGCTCTGTCAACAAGAGTACTACCATTGCTTCAGTGGGAACAAGGCCGAGCTCATAAATCCTGGGTGAAGACATTTCTGTCTCTTCCCTCTGTTCTTGGTAATGTTTTTGTTCTTCTCCCTCTAACATCATGCTTAGTCACCATCAGCAGGTAGGTTGTGTAATATCAGGGACAAGTGTACTGAAAACAACTCCATAGGTCAAGGTCATAGCTTCACTCCAAAAGGAAAAATACTGCCCTTAAAGAACACTCTCAATGAGAAGGCTGTTCTGAACTTGCAGTTTTGTCCATGTTGCATATGAAAGTCAGGACAACACCAAAGCTCAAGAGCATGTTGCAACTCTGATTCACATTCATTCATGCAGGAAAGGGGCTTTTTATTTTACAGAACAGAATGTCCTAGGGATTCTCTTCTCATAAGGATCTGGTGTCTGTAGCTGGTAACCTGTTTCGGCCTCAGCCAAAAATCCATACTTAGGGTCTGTAATAATTAGGAAGACTTCTTTTTTAGGGCTGTTGGATTTTACAGCTCCCTTTAAGAATTTTTTTTTTGCACTGTGATGATATTGTAATATAAATACTCATAAAGCAACTTCATTCATGAAGAAAAGCACTAACCAAACAGTAATTTTGCCATTGTTTCCACTAGAGAATGAACATTAAAAAAGAGTGAAACTGCATACTAGTGGTGCTCCTCCTAAAATCTATTCCTTTCAAAGTATACATACATAGTATGACAGAGAACTAGCCATATCATTTAAACTTAAAAATTTAATTCCAGTTGGTTTGTGAGTCTGCTGGAGAAATGAAAGGAAGTTCAAGCTCTGTAAACAAATACAGAAAAAGAAGAGTTTGTTTGGTGGGGTTTTTTAATTTTTTTTTTCCCCTATGGACATTCTTACATGTGAACTATAGTTATAGCAGTATAGTTTTGTAAGTGCAATTTGATATATTTAGTTTCACATTTTCTAGCATCCTGAATTTATAAATTAGACACAAATCTTTCTCTGAGAATACCATTCACTAAGGTCTGTACTATATAGGGCCAGTTGAAATTCCTTGAGATTGTTACATGCAATTAACCATTGATACTGTGGTTGCAGAATGTCAGACACGTGTTGGAAAATCCCTGAAGAACCAGTTGATTGTGTTGATATTCTCATTAAATTCTGTAAGCGGTTTTATAACTTTTGCAAACTCATGGACCCTAAATTATTCTAAAACAAATATCACACAGTCTTTTCTATTTATTTTTTAACATTTTAGAGAGGAAATAGAAGTAGTTTGCAAAATCATGAGGCCCCTTGCTTTTTTGCGTCTGTTTGCCTGATAGAGCTTGAAAACTTGGAAACACCCAAAGTCAGTTCTGTGTTACCATTCAGTACAATTTGTTTTCCTCCCCTGGGATTTTATTGGCACCAACTAGCTCCATGAATCTGACAGGGTGGCACCATTGCTCCCTGATAAACCTTCCCATCATTTACTGTGTTCTGAATTTCAGAAGTTTTGTATTACACTTGGAATGAAGCCAAAGATACCTGAGACATTAAGTAGCCATATTCCCTGGATTAATCTTGCATTTAATGTAGCTCAAAGCAGGATTTTAGAAGGAATTTTGCAGCAACTACACCTCCTAAGGTCTGGAACTTGTCCCACACAACCTTTCCACTTGGCCTAACATCATGGAGGGCATCAACCTAAGTAGACAAAACCACTTTGGGGTGTGACAACAGAGTCTGAGTCTTGGCAGAAGACCAGTGTCAGATATCAGAGGGTATCAGGTGGGCAAGGAATCTAACAGTGAAGAGCAGGCACTAAAGACGAAATACATCGGTGTCTTATAAAGAAGGAAAGAGCTAGAGACCAGATTGGAGAAGATATTAAATGAAGAAATTTGAAGACTGAGAAACTGGATGGACAGGAGCCAAGATTGACTTTGAGAGGCAACAGTGAGAAAGAAAAGCAGAAACAGTATCAAGACTTCCTGAGACTAGGATGAGAAACCTGAAGAAGGAGCAACTGGAACTGACTGTCTGGGAAGGTACAAATAAACAAGAGACAGAACTGGGTCATTTGGATTAAGCATTGGGTCATGCAGCCAGACTAATCTGTGCTTTTCCCAGGGGTAGAGGAGGGTTTCACGCAAACCTTGCACTTGCCTGATCTTAGTTCAGCCCCTGGCACAAATCACAGATACTGATGAAATGCCTGCAGGCTCAGGGGGAATAGCAGCACATCTGCAACCATGCCTATTTTATCTCAAAAACAGCTTGGGATCTACACCAGCCAGGAGTTCTTTGGTTGCCAGAGGAACCTGTGGAGGCCAGACAAGCAGCCAGGGTAACACACACAAACAAATTCCAGAACATTAACTAAACTTGAAACCAAGTGAACGTTACTTGGCTCATGAACTGAAGGACACCATCACCCTGGCTACACAGAAAGCCAGGTCTGAGGATAAGGCTGTTCTCCTGAGAAACTCTGAAGAATTTCACTTCAAGAATCATTAGCAAAAACATCCTGATTCCTTTTAAATCCTGAGAGAGATTGTAAAACCACCACTCCACTCTTTCATTTTGGTGTGTAACACAGATGCTATAGATTGGCCTGTCTCATAATGTTGGCATGGGATATACTTGCCCTTCTCTGCCTCTTTGGATGTGAGATACAACAAGTTACAGTTTGTGGAAAGGAAATGCAAAAGTATCCCTTGCGTCCATTCTTAACTGGCAGCTTCTTTAAATGGGACATCTCCCCTTTGGGGTAGTTAGTGCCTGGAACAGCCGCAAAACCAGTATAAACCAGAAAAGTGCACATGCTACAGCCACACAAGTGCAGATATAAGTCTATGTAGGTGGTAAATCTGTTCTGGATTCCTGCTGCTGACACTCCATAGACAACTTAAAAATTTCTAAATAACTTTAGAAACTCTGCCTGTATAATCTAAAGATTAAATAACAGACAGCAGTAGAAATTAACATGAATGTTGTGCTTTTTGCATCAAATCTTGATTGATGCTTCAGAAAATTTCTTTGAGTTACATTATCATTTTGACAATACAGCTATCAGGTAAGACACCCTTCTTGACCTCCATGCAGCAGCTCCAGAGGGGAAAAAAGCCAGAAACGCCATACTTAATCCTTGGCTGTGAGTTTTGAGGAAGTATCTCCAATACAACAGTGAGTTGAATTTACAATCTAAGGCTGGGACAAACTGATTTTGAACCAAAACTTCAAAATAGGCGGTCATTAATTGGTAATCTCTAAAGAAGTCCTCCATCCTTGGTGCCTCTCAGTATTTCCTCATCTCACCATGTAGCAGCAAAAACATTCCAAATTGTATCAGCTTTGAAAGAGATTCTCCTTTGGCTAACTAGGATTACACTCTGTGTGGCCACTAGGACTTTGTCTAGTGACTTCTTGGTAAGAAAGACAAATAAGCCTGTAAGACTTAAATGCTACATAAAAGATTAAGGCCAGGGAGGGCTGTGGCAGGCTGAAGAATGATTCTTAAACATTAAGTTCTTACCCCCTTCTTTATTCTAAGCCTTTTATCCATTACAAATTAACATTAACTCTCCTGTAGAGACAGCCTCTTCTTAACTCTCAAATTATATCTGGCTACTCCAGGATTTAAGAGGAAAGAATGACAAAACAAATAAACAACAGCAAAAGATCCTTTTGGAAGGAAAGAGGAAGCCTAACAGGCACTATAACAGTGTGATTTATTGGAACTCGCCATTTCCACATGATGGATGTGACAGCACTTATCCCACATGTAGCCCAATCAAGCTTCTTCAATTGTCAATTCATGTTTAGTTGCCTCCTCAATGTTTTCAAGTTGACGAAGCAGCCACTCTCTTTCTTTCTTTCTCTGTTACAGAAGAAAAAATATTGTTTAATCAAGCTAATCTATTCAGATACAACCTGCTTTCAAAAACAAACAACCTACACAAAGGACTTATGACCCAACTAAATTTTGGCTGGAGTTTTCCATTTGTTTTAAGCAAAGAAGCTTTAACTCTCAAAGCTGTCAAGTTTTCTTGACACACTCAAGAACAATATGATACAGAGAAAAAACCAAAGCAAAACAGAATTTAACAGCTTCACGCTGACATGACAACCTTCAAAGTCTAACTCTGCAGCCTTCCTATCCTTTCTATGGGCTTTCCACAAGCCCTTAGCAAATAATTAGAGTTTCAGAAAATGGAGTTTTCTGAAACAGACAACCAACACCTGCAGAGCATCTGTTAATCTAAGCTTTTCCCAGAAAACCCTACATTAGTTAAAAGGACTTCTCACAAGATCCCATTTGGAATGACTGTCGTTCTTTTGGATTTAACAGAAAAAGGGGTAAATTAGTTGTTCCTTAAGTTTGATCTGACTTGCTGACATTAAGAAACTTTAGAATTTCAATTACTGATTTCTTCCTATTCTTAAATATCCTCTAAAGAAAGATATATTAAAAAATATACTTTCCCACTTGGGTACACAATGAGTTATACAACCTCACAAGCTGAAGCAGAAAATGCTAGTTTGGAAGTTTGCATGGCATTCTGACTGTGATTAGGAATGGTATCACAGAGTTTAACAGGTTATGATGCAATTCATAAACAGATGTCCTCACTGCTAAAGTTATGGAAATATTCCATTAGTAAACTATTTTCACTTTACTTGAAATAGCTGTATATATTCTGTGTTGGCAGAAGTTTGTGTAACTTAGCTATTGAATAACTAAATGAAAGTCTTTACCTGAAGAGTTTTATTAATTTTCTTCTTTCTGGGTTTTGCTACTGGGGGGTCTTTTATCCCTGGTATTCCGGAAGCAAGACGTAAGGGTTCACTCTCGGGAGTTACTGCAGCATCCATAAATGCTCTGGTGGTAGCTTGAGTTTCTATGTTTGGGACAATCTTGTGAGCTGGCTCTTGATTTGATTCATCAGAGGCCAACACAGTGGAAAGCCTCCTTCTAGAAAACACAAGCCGAGAGCTTTGGCTTTTCTCTTTATTTAGTTCTTGCAAATCAAATGCTGTTGAAAGCGGTCTTGGGGACATAGGAGGGATGTATACATCAGCACGTACTAATGTTACTTGAGATAATGATCTACTTAGATTTGATTTTGGCATTGGAGAGCCATAAACTCTCTTTGTGGCATCTTGGTCCTTGATTGACTGATTTGTCAGATCTAAAGAAGATGGAATTGTTCTTGAGAACACTGAGTCCACTGGGGTGCTGTGTTTCACCGTTCTCTTTTTCAGAGATCTTTTAACATTCAGAAAAGAATCATCTTCCTCTGACATCTTGAAGTCAGGTTTATTTCCTTAAGAAAATAAAAAGATTGTGTCATTGTTCATGCTGTAAAAGATGCAATGTAAGCTGCTTTTTAGCAGCAAGCTGTTAAATGAAATCTGAAATGTTTCTATTTTCATGTCTATATTCTGTCTTTACATTGAATTTATCCTTTATATAGATCAGTGTTCAGGCATTTAGAAGAGCCATATTGAAAACAGAACATGAGAACACATTTGGTCACACATCCAACACTTACTACTCTTCTCTCAGCCTTCTGCATGAGGAGCTCCAAGTGTGCTAGAATTTTTAAAGGTCTTTAATTAACTGCAACATCATTAAGATAGTGTTTCCTCCTTCCAGGTGGATAAATAATATACTTTTGGGGTTTCAGCTGCTAACACTGTATATGCAGATGGCAGAAGGACTGCTGTTGTGTAGCAAGAAATCAAGTGCTCTAAAGAGATGGGCAGAGAATTTCTGGATTCACCAATTATCTCTTAACCAAACTGCTATTTTTTTCCCCTTAATTCCTTGAAAAGGGGCTCACAAACATCTAATTCCCTTCTATTTACTTGACAGTTTTCTTACTTCAGCTGACCCTAAGTTTGATTCTAAAAAATATACGTTCTTTGCAAGTATATTTTCAACTGAATTTACAATGGTAAGCTTGCTTTTCCAAGTAGCATTATCCCTATCCATTTGCAAACCCCCAAAGAAATAAACTCTGCTTCTTGGGCAGAAAAGCCCAAGATAAAGATATCTGATTTGAGATATAGTTAAGATAAATACCTAAATCAGGTGAGCAGTTAAGTACTCCTAGTAATTGTTGTAATCTTTGCTTTCATTAGGTTGTTCAGATATTTCATGCAGATTGATTGCCCCATATTCTAAGCTGTATGTAGATTGCAGCCTTGGAAGGGCAAAATAGGACTACCATGAAGCAGGGCACAAGAAGACAGGGAAGTATATTTGCTGAAGTAAAAGGTATTAGTTCTCCATTCTTTGTCAATGTTTTGCACCTATGTAGTGTCTAAGTTTTCTAGTAGAGTTTCACATCCACTTTGTGTTTCTAAACACACAGGAAGCAAGACATAGGGCATTGATTCTTCAATACAGCAGAAGTCAGGCGTTTATTTATTTTTGGTTGTTTTTTTTTTCCCTCAGAAAGAGGGAGGTGTACTCCATAATAATTTTTATTTGGATACTCATTTCTTCTCTCACTTCTTAGAAGTGCTAGCTTGTGTTACATAGGCAGCACTCAGCCTACAGAGACTGCCTTTTTCCTTTTCTGTTTAAACAGATTGACTTCCTTTAGTCTTTATCATAGAAGTGTAGATGGTTAAGCTTACAAAGGGAGTAAGGAGGATTTTACAGCCCAGCACTCCTCCCCAAACCTGTCCTCAGCTATGTATTTTAACACTTTTCCCTTCATCATTAAATGGTCAATTAAAAGCTATTTCTTTCTTAAAGTATTTTTTAACAATTTTTTCAAACAAAGCTTTTGTAGAAAACAACAATGATTTTTTTTTATTTCACATTTCTCTATGTTTTAGAAAGATAAATATGTCTAAGCAACAGGTTTTCCTGCTCCAACACCACTATAGGTAAAAGAGAGAAATCTATTAACAACAGAGAAATATAAACTATTTGAGAATATCAAAGTGTATCACAGAGAATGCATTTTACAGGAAATTTGACAAAATATAGCAGACTTACCAGATCTATCAGGTTCTAGCTGATATCTTCCTTCCTTCCTTCCTTTTTAAAGTAATCTAGCTTCAGCTGCTACTTCCCTGCTTATAAACCTGTTCATCCTGGCCATCCTTTGCTACAAACACTCCCTAATTAACATGTTTAGCATTTTTAGCATTTTTTGGGAGTATCAACATTGCTTCTAAATGAATAAATAACTAAATAGAAATCTAGGATTAATTAATCATAGGAAAATGGGCTAGCCAGCTTATCTATATGCTATATTTATTGGTATTTAATCTCTGCTGTATGCTGCCTATTTCAATCACAAAAATACTCTAGTGGTTAATTGGCTTCACATGGCTGTATAAGGCACATTGAAGATCTGGTGCAAGATGGGTGTATGTTGATGGAGTATATTGCCATCTTGATTTTATTTTCTCACTGCTTTTCTCATTCAAAAAATAAATGGGAAATTAATGTTAAAGCTGCCATGAAAAAGCTCTTATTTTAGGAAAATAGGAAGTGAGAATAAGCTGAAAAACTGTAAATTTCAGTGTGAACGTTATGGTGTTTGCAGCTAACAGCTAATGACAGCATTTTATCTTGAAGCATATGCTTTCAAAGTGTCAGCTCTTAGATTAGAGTTTCATTGGTTTGGAACGGTATGGTTTAGGTGGAGGACTGTAATTTTTATCAACTGAAAAGCAGCTGGACTACACCAGTCCTGAATTGCAAGTCAGCTCTGTGGTAGCTGACTGTAAACAGCTGTTATCACAATGCTGTAGAGCAAGAACAGGTGTGAGGGAGCATGTGCACAAATCGTGGGGTGGCCCTTTTGACAAAGCATGACCTGTGGACCTTGAAGCTGATGAGACAGACCTAATTTCACAGTTTTATGTGGATGACCTGGGTTTGTAGAGTGCATCTAGAGCAGACAGAGGGGCAAAAGCACTGATCTCACAGGAATTTGAACTTTTGGTTCCAGGCAGTCTGGGTATTTCAAACCTAATCATAAACCACTCTCTCTTGCCACATTAATAGTTTTACTATGAATAGAGAATTGGAGCTACCAGTTCAAAATTTAGAAGTAGCAGTCTGTCAGTATATGGATAAAGTTGCTAGGCTTAAGTTATGTGCCCCCCAGGAGCTGAAAGAGAGCTTGAGAAATGGAGGCACACTACAATCACATGGATTGCATGAGTAAATATCTTGGAAATAAATAGTCTGTCCAGGATAAGCTATTTATTTTCTAAACTCCCAGGGGAAGTTCCTACAGTAACATTTTGAGAATTAAACAAAAACTATTTTGAGATACTTGTGGCTGGGAAAAAAAAGTCTCAGCCCTTTATAAACACAGACTAATCTTTACCTCATTTTGAATATTTGTAGTTAGTTTTCATACCTTGTGGCTTGGTGAACAAACCCACCAGGCCAGTCATTCTGTGCCTTGCAGGTCCAGCAAGCCAGTTCCTTATATAGTACAGAGCACAGTGATGTCTTGACATGGTGTAACAATGTTTGTGCTGTCCTGCTGTACTGTGGCACATAATATCACCTCTCCTAGCAGGGCAATGATGCAGACAACACTGAGCAGCATGAACCTGCATGAGAAGCTTTTTGGGGTGCTGAGAAAATTGCTGACATAATTTCGCTGGACTCCTTCAAAACCACATGGCCTTGCCTCCCAGCTGGTGCTTGGCACTCCTTGCTGCGCTTGTCCTCACTTTTTGTGTCCTTTTCCATGGAATCTCACAGTCTGCAAGTGCTGTCTGTAGCTGCATCATCTTTATGTCTACCTTACATGGCCGTTTCTGCAAAACTCTTTAGAAACAGCTTCCCCCTTTTCTAAAAAGCATTTTCTTTCTCTTTTTTCTAGAACCTTGCTAAATATTCTCAAGAGACAAGTTAATAGATTTGTAAATTGTTCTTTCTGCTAGTAATGGTTTATCTTACGTCTTACAGATCCATCTCTTTATCAAGTGGTGGCAGAATGTTACAAAGAATAGGAAAGACATAACTGTACAGAGATAAGACAGAAAAGAGTCCAATATTAATTTAAGAATCAGAGCTCAGTAGAAATCTGCAGTGATGATATTACCTTGGTCTCTGTGTATCTGTAGCCATATTTTATGTCTGAACAGGAAACACGAAAACTGAGGCTTGAGTGACACCTTGAAAGCCTCTTGCATCTTTTGAAGAATGATGCATACTGTCTCCTGAGCTCAGACCTATTCATTATAAATAATTCCTTCACTAAATTTACATTCCTTGGAATGATCATCTTTATCCTCAGCATTGTCTACTTGATATTTTGAACAATAACTTCAAAGGTTTGGATACAGCCTTTTGGCCTATATTTACACACAATTCCTCTCATTTGTTGCATAAAGCAAGATGGCACTCAATTCTAGCAATGTTAATATATATCTTCATATATATTGTATCAAACTCCCCCTCCTTTAGGCTTATGTCTTGAAAGATCATTTGTTGATCTCATTTTAGGAGATAATTTAATCTTCTTTCTAAATTTATTTAAAAAATACAAAACATACTTAAGTTATTGCATTCCCTTAAATTAAACATTTTCTGAATTTTTTTACTTCCAAAACCAGCAAAAGTGGGTAATATAAAAACAGGATAATGTTTTGTTCAAATTTCAGCCCCTTCATTCCAGTGCAAATACTTCAATTCACTTCAAAGAGATGGAATTTTGGGGAGGCTTCATCTGGAAAAGGGAAATAATAGAATTATTTTTCAGTTTACCAAGGAATAATATACACAGAGGGACAAAAATGGACACCTTTCTCCCTTTGTCTTCTGGTTTGTTTTGAGAGACTGAAATTCCTCAATTTTTGCTCTTTTAATTTCTTCATTTTCTAGTCTGAGGATGTTGCCAAACAGTTCTCCTGAAGGGAACTTGTATTCTGAACCAATCCTTAACTCATATGCTTCCCTAACATATTTTCTTGAATTGGATGTGAAATCTAATTTGTAAAGTCACAAATCTTGCATAAGTCTCCAAGCTAGGTGCTCTCCAAGGACTAGGTGCAGTCTTTCCCGTGCAGAACACTAAGAGGCCCTCTCCCTGCTCTTGCAACTAGTCTGATGTTTTTAGGCACAGAGGGTGATTCCAAGTACGTAAAAAGAAATAGGAGCTGGCAAGTAGAACTCAGCATTCTACTCTGTCTGATGACCTGTGGTGGAATGCCACTTGAAGCATTATAAGGTACAAGGAAGAGCCAGAGGAAGCATGGAAATGGTGGTGAGGAGCAAAAGGAGAATGAAAGGAGGAAATTAAGAGAGGGACACAAATTTGAAAATGTTTTCCTAAATTTAGACTCATGTAGAAAGAATAAATTAGAAGGAAGATAAAAGGAGTGCACAAAACAAAAAAAAACAAGCAAAAAAAAAAAAAAAAAAAAAAAAAAAAAAAAAAAAAAAACAAAAAAACAGAAAAAAGCAAATCAAAAAAGCCCAAAGAAAGGGAAAGGATTTAATTGTTTCCTAAGTGATTTAGAAGACTTGGGCCCAAATTACAAGCTATTTATGGATGAAACTCCATAAAAATACAAATCTGATTCAAATCCACATAAACTATCCTTCCTGTGTCTCAGTTTTGTATATAGGCAAGTCAATCAGGAGTCCTCTAAGAGTTGCTGATCAGACCAAGCTCTGATAGGAAAATAGAAGTGAAACATTTTAATTGCTAATGTGAAGT